TCACCGCTAGTCCGATTTTCCAGTAAGAAAAAAGTAAGATGAAAGACGGGAGAAGGAGGTCGGGAGGCGGAAGGCGGAAGGCGAGAAGCAGAGGGAGGACAATGAGGGCAGCAGGGCAGGATGACTGATTACTAGCAATATTATCTCCGTGCTACGGGGAAAGGCTGGATCCACCTCACAGGGTCTGTGCAAACCCGAATGGCTTATATCTGTAATCTATCTAGTTACTGCGTATGATATCTCATCAAGTCGGCATTTACTACTCTTCATGAACTGAACCCTTTTTGCCGCCTCCAACTTTTAGCCATCCAATCCAAACTCCGACAGAAATATTGCGATGGACACTCCCATCCACTTGTTTGGCTGCTCTTAGGGCGGGTCAAGTTCGGAGCGGGTCAGTAGGACCCATCGCCAAAAAACCCTCCTCGGGCGAAATAGCTGTAATGGGCTTAGCCAGCGCTCCTGCAGCATCATTTAGCCAAGTGAACAAGATTCTATTCACGGGACTGCGGAGGGTCTGCGGCACCATCCAGTCGCAGGCATGCAATCTCTAAAGCTGTGGGTACATGTTCACAATTGCTGGTGCTGCAGGACGAGGCCCCCCTATGCTTGCAGGCTCACCCTGCGGGGACAGAACCAACAATGTCCTCACCAATGGTACGTACTCCTCCACTGATAGCCCGCGCGGTATCTCAGGACGGATTGATAATGTACAGAAACATATTGAATTCTCAGACAGGCCACACGCTGGCTGGGAGTATATAAAGCCAGTACGTGACCCGAGTTGAATCTCCTGGCTCAACATCAGAAATCACAGTACATTTCTACCTCTACAATCATTTCTTGTATATCTCCAGGGCACCCTCTCTGCTTCTGTTTATTCCGAACAAAATGTGGTCTCTTTCTTCGCAGGCCCTCATGGCCAGTACAGCCCTTCTGTCCTTACTGCCTTCAACCCTCGCGACTTCGGCAGCCTGCAATACCACCGCCCTCAACACCACTGTGGGATTATACCCTATTACCGTGGAAAATACCACAGTCTTCGATGTTGCCAAGGCCACTAACCGGGGCGTCTGCGACATCGGCCGTCACAACCTTATGGCCGACGTGACGATAATCCCCAACGTCGGCCAGACTTTGATCATCCCGGCTGAGGTCTGCGAGCCCGATAATGAGACTTGCCTTCTGCCCAACATCACCCGCACCCGTACTTGCATCGACGGCGGTCCTCGTCTATACTATACCGTCAATGGGGATACCCTCGACATTGTCGCGAAACGACTTAACATCACGACTGAGTCGCTCATGAGTGACGATACCGGCTTCTCGGCTGATGAGGTGCTTGCTCCGGGTCAGTACCTCAAGGTGCCATTGTGTTCTCCAAGTGAGTGCGTGATTCGGCCGTTCACGTTGGAGTATGGTGTGTACAAGGACTATGCAGACAAATACAACACCACTGTGGGCCAGATCATGATGCTCAGCCCAACCTACAACTACAGTACGTCGCCGCTGACTGGTGCTGGGCGTCCGTCATTGGATCTTCCGTACAAATGTACGACTCTGTCAAGCAACATCACTGTGCTGTCATGAGTTCTGTTGTACTATTGATACTAGTTATTGGCCATGATGTGTCTGTTGATGTACCTTTGTTCGTGTCGTGTAGTATAGTCTTTGCCTGCAGTGCGCCTGTGAGAGACTCAATGACTGTGGAAATACTCAATTATACTAACTTGAGCGCCTATTCAAAATTTCTTCTCGCCATGTTTCTGAGTGTCTGTGAATTCTGTGGAAGCCTCTCTGGTGGATGATTCGCTAGGACATCACTGCAATGCGACTAATGCTATGATCCATGCAGCCATATGCTTAGGAGCGGTCATCAGCCAATTGAACTCTATCTGCATACGAGTCTTACCGTTGTAAATGCAAGTAACTCATAAATCCCCAGAAACCATTCCAACTATAACGTAATCGGTAGGGATGTGAAATTGGGCCATGACATAAGCCGTCCCGGTCTAACCCAAACAGGCATATCAATCAAATCTGATCTCCGCACCCTGAGCCCTTTCATCGCTTCTCGCTGAATTCCCACTTGTCCGCCGCCATCTCCATCTCCATTGTCCCTTAATACTCATCTAATCATCATCATCAAAATGACCGACCCTCCTCAGACTATTCCTCTTCACCACCTTCCCTCGTCCATCTCCTACAATGCTGCCACCACCACGGCCCTGGAGTCTCACCTCAGCACGTCCGACGAGGAGTCTAGCCCACCTCCGCGTTACACCCGCGAGAATGACCCCTTCCAACTAGCCTCAAAACTAAAAAGTCCCGAAGAAATCGCCCGAATGCAACCCCAAGCCAACATCTCTCGCAAGCGTCACACCTCCGGCTGTCTCCCCCACACCGCCAACCCCCGTAATGCACTCGCTTCCTCCTTAGCCTCCAAACAACTGCAGACCTTCTACGAGTCCCAGAATGAGAACATTCAGCGCATGCTCAAGCCCGTCGAAGAACATGTTCGCGATGCCCGTGAAACAAACAGCAGCAACCAGCTCAAGTACAAAATAGCGGTCTGGGGCTCCTTCGCCGCCAATGTCATTCTCTGTGTTCTGCAACTCTACGGAGCCATTTCCTCCAGCTCCCTCTCCCTGTACACAACCATGGCCGACGCTGTCTTCGATCCCCTCTCCAACATAACCCTCCTCGTTTCCAACAAGGCCGTCAACCGCGTCGATCCTCGTAAATTCCCCGCCGGAAAAGCTCGCATCGAAACAGCCGGCAACATCTGCTTCTGTTTCCTCATGACAGCCGTCTCTTTCATCCTCATCGCTTTCTCTATCCGCGAACTCGCTGAAGGATCCAACTCTGAGACGGGATCTTTCCACCTCCCCTCCGTTGTCGCCGTTATCGTCGCCTTTTGCACTAAATTCGTGCTCTTCCTGTACTGCTTCGCGCTAAAGGATCAGTATTCCCAGGTCATGATCCTCTGGGAAGACCACCGCAATGACCTCCTGATCAACGGATTTGGTATTCTTACCAGCGTAGGTGGTGGTAAACTACGCTGGTGGATTGACCCCGCGGGAGCTATTGTCCTCTCCGTGCTTGTCAGTTGCTTGTGGCTGTTTAGCGCGTATCGCGAGTTTCAGTTGCTTATTGGTGTTACTGCCGATACGAAGATGCAACAGTTGATTACTTATATCTGTGAGCTTATTTCCCTCCCTCACCTCCCTCCCACTTCGTCTATAGGTGAAGGATAAAAGCTAATGATGTGATAACTATAAAGCAATGACACACTCCCCCCTCATCACCGCCATCGACACCGTCCGTGCATACACCTCCGGCCCTCGATTGCTTGTGGAAGTTGACATTGTCATGGACCCGAACGATTCGCTGCGGGCTACACATGATGTCGCAGAGGAACTGCAGATGAAATTGGAGTCGTTGCCGGATGTGGAGCGGGCGTATGTACACGTGGATTATGAGACGACGCATAAGCCGGAACACTTCTTGAAGAAGGAGTTGTAAGTCTAGGTGACTGCTTGTTTGCCTATTCGTTTATGGCTGGATGGTATATGGTATATAATAATATAGTTGTATTTGGATGGGATATGGATATGGATACGAACACGGTAAATAGTATAGTATAGAGATCAAGAACATAGTCACGTGTATAACTTTTTTAATTGTCAATGCAGGGATAGACAGTACATGTTGATGGTGATTGCTGGATGGTAGGAAACCTTAAAGATGAAAGCCGACTGCTCAGGGTGATGGATACAGTTACCATTTGGGTAAACTGTGCCTCGGTGTAGTTCCAAGTGTGAATGATGCTCCTGACCGACCTTCCGAGCCACAAGCAACGCCAAAAAAGAGCCAAGCAGACCGCGGACTAGACCGACCTCCCGCATAATATGGCATACATTGGGGAAGGACAATCAGCACCAGCTGTGGATCACAATTACCAGAATGGGCGATCCCTAATTGAAAGCCCAACTGCTATGATCTCGGACCTCCGTGACCAGTTAACTAGCATTGGAAACTATGACATTTGGCGATCTCAGGTAGTCAATAAGCTCAGAACGATGGGCTGCGCTCAATCTATTGACATAAACATACCCCGACCGGCCCCGAATACTCCAGGCTATGAATCGTGGGAAGACTGGAGTATTTTCATTTCGTCCTGGCTCATTAGCCAAGTCTCACCACAGATATGCAGGAAGCTATATGGGAAGGTCTCCGAAATCTATTATGCTGATGAAACCTACGAACACATCCATAAGGCAGTCTTGGACGAAGCACCCAGGAAACGCAAGGGAGTTGCTAGCAAGCTTCACAGCATGCGGCGGATTATTACGCTTCTGTTTCTCAATACATTGAAGATTTCATGAAGACTTGTGATCTGGCTCATCGATTGGATTGTGGATATGAACCATATTTTGCGGCTGTTGTCCTGCTTGCGGCTATTGTCCTGCTCATCAACCTACGACCTAACATGCCGGAATGGTGTGACATTATTGATCAGCACCTTGAGGGATATAACAACTTGAATTACACTGCTGATCAGTTCCATGATCTGTGTATGGAGGCCTCCGCAAAAGCTGAACTGGCAGAGCTGTCTGCCTTAACAAAGACTTTATCACGAAACGGGAGGAAGCAGAGATCTAATAAGAAAAAGGCAGCTCAGGAAATCAACAAATGTTCTTTAGAACCATACATGCTGGCCTCCCCAAGACTTGGATTAAGGCGAATTGGTTTGACAACATCTTATGCAGGATGAGGTCCCTGGCTAGCCACGCGTAACTAAGAATCAGATTTACAAGGTAGTGTGACTCGCAGTGTTCAGCCTGCAGTCTTCTCACTCATTTTCCTGGATGATACAACACTCGTATATTATGATATTATGTGGTAATTAGAGCAGTGACTGGGAGGTTTTATCTGATTCCCGAAGCCATATCTAAACTATTCGGTTATCTGCATGCTTCCGGCTCATGAGTGACACCCTATGGTTTCTCAAGATATAGTAAATCTGTGAGCGGGTTAGCTGTGTACACACAAGAAGAGTAACCCATTCTGAATGTTGCATTTGAAAAAGGAGCTAATGGCGATAAACTTACTGTATTGGTTCTTGGATGCCCATGCATCACCAACAGCCAATTCTGCCCTCCGGCACAACGCATCCCTATCATCAGCATCGTACTTATGGCTCTTGACTGCCAATATCCTCCGGCCCGCCGGAATGGTCTTGCCCGCCAGAGACACATCTACTGAAGGGAGATAGTACTGGTTATGACTTCCTTGCGCTGCATCCCAGCGGCCAATGACATTCCATTTTTCGAGATCAAAGGTATCCGGCCCTAGAATCTCGTTGGCGCGTTCAAGGCCGTGCTTGATGAATCGCCGATTGATTCCCTCGGGATCGTTATAAGCTGCTAGCACGCGATCGGCGTCTTTGCATCCGTCCAAGCCAATGAGCAGTGACGAGTTACTTTCGGGGGTGACGAAGCTAGCCAAGAAGTCGGCTGCTTCTGGCCGCTGGAAACTGCCCAGTGTTGATCCCAAGGAGAAAACGGTCTTGGGTCGCGAACGGATTTCGGGCAAATGCATCCAGTCCCGACCATCGTCGTAGGTTCCCAGCAACCCGAAGCAGCGGACATGGCGGAATGTCCCCGGGGGCACGATGCTGAGAGTCCGGTGGAGCTCTTGATACGATACATCCAACGCGAAGTAGTCAACTTCCCGACCCATTTCATCCAGAGCATCTAGAAGGATCTTGATCTTGCGGAGGTTTCTGATTGTTCAATCAGCGCAGTTGCCTCTGCAGGTGAGAGGTTTGGACGCTTACCCGCTGCCTAGCTCGACCAACATACTACCAGACGGAATGTGTTCTGCGATCTGGTATTTGTGCTTCTCGAGCAGACCAATCTCTTCATTGGTGAGGTAGTAGGATGGAGCATATGTCACGTCTTCGAAATAGCGTAGTCCCTTTTCATCCCAGAGGAGAAGCTCCGGCATGGCAGACTCCCCGCGACAGGCCGCATGGATGGACTCTTCGAGCGAATGGCGGAGCTGTGTCTCTGCTTTATCGCTGCGGATATCGATGATATTGGTCGCAACGGCCGGCCTTGCGACTGTCTGAACCCGAGGTAGTCGACCACGGACTTGGGGTGGTGACACGACACTTTCGAACATTTTGCAAAGCTAAACGAGCAGCAAAGTCTATGGGATAGTCTATATGTAGTGAGTCCAAGCGGCGGATGTATTCAGCGCTGATCTGCAGGCCAGGCGGCTATTCATGTAGTACTGTGCGAACTCCTCAATAGGAAGACCCTGATTGTCGAACACATTGAGACTCCGTGATGCAATATGTTGCTATGATTGCTCGATCGAGATAAGGATGACTTTGCTTCCATGATTGGCTTGATCCGCTGAGGTCATTGATCCGAACCATGGACCCTGATATTCTAGCCGCATCCAGCCACATGCGACAGGCAAAGTCGATGACCTTCGATACTTTTGTAATAGTGGGTCCTGCCGTCACTCCATAGAAGGAACGAGCCTATAACGCGGCACAGTTAGTAATTATGAGATTTGCAGGATGCTACGTGCTGTGGCAGCGGTGATCTACGACTCGTTGAACGAGTGGGCGTCAACGGGAATGCCAAGATATCCCGGAATGCCCAGTTAGATCGACATGGGAAGTGGAGAGTAAACATGCTAATTCCAGCCTTGCCTATATTATTTAATTTTGATTCCGTACATTGTGCCCATCCAGGAACACAGTGACGCAGGTGGCATTGTCACTACTGGGTGCCTTTGAAGCTTTCTCGGTGATCTTCGCGGCCACCCTGTCAGCATCCAATCCCTCTTGCTTGTTCCCTGCGATCTGATACATGATAGTTTCGTCATCCATTGTATTGGTAACCCCGTCTGTAGTCAGGGCCAAAAAGTACCGACGATCCGGCTGCAGAGTGTATCGTTTGAGAGAAGGGTAACTGGAGACTAAATCTCCCTTCTTTGTTGGTTCGACGCATGCTTTCTCCTGGCCGCTGGAAAGGGACTGCTCCCCGATATCCTTTAGCGGCATTTTATATTGTAAATCGCCCAGCGCCCGCGATATATTCAAGCCCCCTGCGGAAGTTAGGTTCGCAACCTCGTGCGATATGGGACGAGAAGAAACTAACCAACTCGTGGCATGCCGCTCTCGGTGTTGAGTGTCCCTCCGGCGGACTCAATGCGATGCCTCTCCCCAGCATGCTCCGGCTTGTGGGATGTGGTTAATCGCTCCTTCAAACAGTTAGAGGACGCTGATACGATAAACAGGCCTGTGACTTCTACATACGACTCTCAGCGACGTGTGATCTGCCCCGTCGGCCTCTCCCAGCAAAACGTGCGAATCTCCCAGATTGGCGACCACTAAGATGCCCCTGGTTAGATTCACAAATACCAGGGCGGCAGTCGATCCGGCTACGGCGAATAATTCCTCGCCAGCCCAAAACCCTTGCAGAAGCTCCTTCTCCTCTGCTTGGATTGCTTGTTCGATGGCTGATTCATAGTTTCCCTGTCTCAACTCTTTACTGATAGTCAGAAGCCGACGGATATTTTTGCTTGCATGTTCTGCAACCTTATCTGAGGCACTTCCCCCTAAGTTAGTCCCGACTACCTTGCCAGAGTCATGATGTGATCCCCATACTGTCCGTCATATACGGCAAAGAAAGCCAGACTGTCCGTGTGCCCCGAAAATTCGTTAGGCAGGAGGACGGTGTACCTGTCTTCTTGAGTTGGCTTGGATCCAAGGACCTACAGTTAGTAAATACTGGGATTAGCTCTTGAGTTTCCGCATCTCTGGCGGGGAGCGTATCGTACACTACTGGCCCCGGCGCCTTGAATGGTAAAGGTGCTTGTAGGATTTGAAGCATCTGCCATGGCGTGCTGGTACCCTTCGATGGGAAAACACGAGAATCAAGATGCCGTGGTCACCTACGACGGGGGCAAACCCCCTGACTGCCTTGCATTGCGGATAGCTTCCGATCAGGTTCCGGGGAGCCAGGGCTTCGTGCCGTCATCGCCCCGTCAGGGTTCCACTGTCGGGTTCCATCAAGTGGAACGTAATTCCGAAGGTGGGCCACAACAATCTGACGGGTCCAGAAGTCGAGATGAATTTTCACAGTAAATCAGTAAACTGCTAGATATGATGATTTCGTACTATGTAACTCTGTTAAGTGTTAAAATAGTTAATCTAACTTAACTACGTTAACCGTCTCTAGTTAACGTAACTCCCGGCCGCGCCGGCCACCCGCCCGCACCGGCCACCCACCTACTACACACCCAACGTGTTTCTACATACAAACACCCTCCCCCCTCCCCTCTACTTGAAGCTATTCAACCACCAACCATGCCACCAAAACAGTCTAAAGCATCAAAAGATACAGCAGAGCAGGAGGGTAGTATTCTACTTATTATTAAAGTTATAAAGAAGCATTAAATTAACAGTATTCGCGGTGCTGTACACTTTTTTACTGTCCCACACTCTACTCTACAAGATTAACTACGCGGCACTCCATTTGTTCAAGAGACTCCTAATAGCGCTCAAAAATTGACTTCTAATGAAGAATGCCTCATACAATAGATCTTATTATTAGATCAGTGTGGAATACCTCCCCGCTGTAGTAAGTGCCATATAATTAGCCACAGAAGAAATCAGTGTTCAAATCTCTGTAATAAGTAATAATATATAGGCTTTACTAATAATAATATTGTTTGAATAGCTTCATTCTTGCTTGCATTGGGTATGTAGTAGGTGGGTGGCCAGTGCGGGCGGGTGGCCGGCGCGGCCGGGAGTTACGTTAACTATCTTGTGGCTGACTAAACAATTACAAAGCGAACATGGATCGGGATCACATATTCATCACCAAACCGAAACCCCCCTCGACCGTGAGCCTTATGGCAAAGATAAGGTTTGTTGTGATCATGCATAGACTACATGCTCACGTTGTCGGAAGCGTGGATTTGCACATCAATACTTTCACCATTCAGCGCCATTAACACCCGCAATTGTAAGAGCACTGTAAGCTTCACTAGAACGACTTTTAGGGCCTGCTATGATTGATGACCAGGTCGCAACAGCATGCTAATGTCGCATCTGCCCCTGAAAATCGAATCACAAACCGGAGGGTTGATTCCCGCACAAATGTCCCTTTACATGCCGGATTTTTGGGCCCCATATTTCCATAACATGACCATCATCGACGATGGCGATGCGATCAAGTCCCATGGTCACCAGGCGGTGTCTGAGGCCCAATCCAGCAGTTTCAGCTGTCCTGTGTCTTCTCAGGAAGTCAAAGGGCTTCTGGAATGCCTGCGAGAATCCCCTCTTATAAGGGTTTAATAAGTTTTTACTATACAATGAGTCAGACTGCTATGGTCTCTGCTCCGTTCGTACACCGAGCCCTTGCTAACGTATGTCATGAACGACGCCATTATGGCACTGGAAATTTGTAATTGAGGAGAATATCACTCGGGGATGGGACATAACTATGGTCACCTGTGAGACACCTCGATTCCCTTTGCATGCTTAATGAACTTTTCAATATATGGATTGTTAAGCAACGATGTCGGCCCCTTTTCTCAATGGTTGAGCGCCATAAAATTATATATTTCCATATGCCTAACCAAAACTGTCCTCTTCCACAACGGCTGTCTCACTTCTCCTCCCAGCCTACGATCTTCAGAATCCAATCCACGACGAGTTCCGGAGCACTTACAACAGGAACATGGCCAGTGGGAATTCTTGTCACGTCCGCCTCCCGCCCACTCTCACTTGCAACCGTATCAATCATTTTCTGCTGCACGTCTGGCGAAATAACCAGGTCGTCAGTGCACAGCAGATACGCGACGGGTACATTCTTGTACCCGGCATACGTCAAGGCATTAGCCAAGCTCGCTGCTGAATGGTGTGTGAACTGTCGAGCCCATGTCATGCCCTCGTCCGGGGGCATATCGGAGAAGGCTGTGGCTGCGAAGGCCGCGGTATCGACGAGACTCATCCATCCTTGGTCATCGACGGAGATGTCCATAGGAAGACTACCCAATACGTCCGCGGTCGACCTGCCCTCGGGAGGCACCACGGCCGTCATAAATGCCAGGCGTACCACCCCACCAGCGTCCTTGCTGCCCTCCCTCTTGATGAGACCCTGGATGCTCTGGCTGGCGGGCGTCCCGCCATACGAGTGCGCCACCACAACGACCTCCTTTCCTTGTTCCACTAGCCGTTCAATCTGACGCGCAATCGCCGCCGCATCGTCATACATGGTGCCGGGCTCTGGGAGGGGGCCATCGCTGGGGCCCACGCTGGGTAGCCGGACTGTGTGGACTTCGTAGCCCCGACTTGCAATTCTTGTAGTCACCGGATCGTAGAGTTCAGGTAGGGCGCAGGCTCCTGGGACAATCACAATTGAAGGCTTGGGTTGAGACATGGTGTTTGAATCGATAGATGAGCTTGCTCGTAATTGTTACTCAATCTAGGCCACAATAACTATCTGGGTTTGTACTTTATATACCACAATCATTTCGCATATAAACTGATTTCTAATAATGAACTAAGCAACAGAGCAATGTTAATAATCCAGATCATGCCGGTGATGTTAGTCTATCCTGCTGGAAGCTAGTGAGTACGCCACGAGGGATCCAATGGCTCTTTCCATTCCTTCCGACCCACCCGCGTCAGCACGCTTACGCATGACAGTACTTCCTCTTCTGATGCAAGTTATTTGCAAATTATCAGCAACATATCTTCATTAGAGACAAGAATGGGTCGCTTTCGAAATAATGGCACAACGGACTTGGCTTTAGATTGGTTCATTTGGTTTCTCTACAATCTCAAGCGATCGTCAATAATTGCCTCGTCATCCATTGCGACTATATCTGTCAGGCGGCATGAACGTCAAAGTATGTCATAATATAGAGAGACTTGAGCTTTGTTAATAGATATCTGGTTGATAGCTGATTATATAGTCACGTCAATTCGGTATTTTCGAATTGGGGATTAGCCTATGCATTATAGGGGACCCCGAGAGTCTATTGAACGACTATGCGAGTAGAAAAGATTCTTATATTAAATTGCGAGCGATACAAGGCATGAAAGCCAACCTGGTTGTATAACGGCCCCTATTATGCTCAGGTATAGTCCTTCTTCTATAACTAGTACAGTCTCGTAGCCAGCTATTGCCAATGAGGATGGCTACTATAAATTTATCGATACTATTATTTATTTGTTTATCCGGAACTCATATTTTTCACATACCAAGGTGGTACATACATTCCGACTTCAAAAATCCAAGTATAATAACAGAATAGCCAGTAGCAACATCCAACTTCTGCTTGGAAAGGGAGTAGTGATAAATCCTGAATATACTATTTATGCAGTGATAGCCTTGGAGTACATATGCAAGTAGCCGCAATTGCAGAAAACGCTGCATATAAAGTCAAGTGTGGAAATTGTTGTCAGCTCTCTACCTGATCGCGAGTGAGCAGCAAGGAGATGAATATTACTAGAGAAGCGGTAGTCAGGAGAGCCTCGATGCTAGGGTATGGTGTTATATAAACTACGCGTCGCGAAGATAGGTCAACAAGGGATGGATGCGCGACGGTGATTGATCTCTAGGTGTGATGGGTTAGCCCAACATAACCCGAAACTTGAATCAATGCACTATAAACCATTCCATACATGAATGGATAGGGTTACTGATGACGGTAGATAATGTCGTCTAAATTCCGGTTATGAATGTTTGTTCTAGTTCTCCAACTCTAAAGTTTGGGACCGAAATACGAATGCACTGCACTAATACGGTGGTCAGGTCTGACTGAGAATGCACTTTATCAGTAATAAGCTCTCCTACAGGCGGTTTCCAGCTGCAAGGAGGTTCCAAATTCTGCCTTCTGCCGGAACCCTTGATTACTGTTCTCACGTGTGCATCCTTGTCTCAGCTCTCCCCTATAATCACCCAGGAATGTGGAATGCCCTTGCGGCTTTGCGGTCCGACCAGGTTTGATATAATAATTGTCAGCACCTTTGCGATCGACTACCAAGCCGATAACATTATGGAGAGCAACAACACCCATATCTTGACGATAGCTGTCGGAGCTGCTGTTGTTTTCTTCTTCTGCGTAATCAGAAAATTGCGTTGTATATGGATACAGTCACAGTTTGCTAAGGTACATGGTTGTGAGCCTGTATTGACAGCCTCGAAAGATCCTCTTTTCGGCATCGATGTGCTTCTGGAGAACATCCAAGCCGCAAAATCCCACCGTCTCCTCGAACTCATCCAACACCGGTTCCAACGGTACGGAAATACATTTCGTGTAAAGCGATTCACAACCCCCTTAATTATAACCTGCGAACCGGCAAATCTAAAAGCTGTCTTATCCCTCAATTTTAAAAATTATGGTCTGGGAAGTCGTGTCGCGACCTTCGGTCCGCTATTAGGCCATGGAATCTTTACCACCGATGGCGAGCACTGGGCTCAATCCCGCGCCATGGTGCGCCCCAATTTCGTCAAGGACCAGATCGCGGATTTAGAAAAGCTTGAGGAGTTGATGCAAGGTCTGTTGGCGTTGATCCCTACAGATGGTTCGACTGTCGACCTGCAAGATCTCTTCTTCTGCTACACGCTCGATTCCGCCACTGAATTTCTCTTTGGCCACAGTGTCCAAAGCCTGAATCAGCGTCTGTCTGGTGCGGTGCCTAGTGAGAATGATTTTGCTTCAGCTTTCAACTATGCGCAGCATGCTATTGCTAGGAACACCCGTCTCGGTTTCTTAGGGCGGGTTATTCCCGACCACAAGGCGACGCGATCCAACCGTATCTGTCATAGCCTGGTGGAGCAGTTTATCGAAAAGGCGCTCAAGTACCGTGAAGACTATGCCAA